TATGATTAAAAATTTTATTTTGGAGTTGTTATTCTTCTAAATTTAATTTTAAATTTAAGAAAACATATATACATATATTCAAATTGCTATAAAATGAAAAATAAAAAAATTTAACTAAACATTTTACAAAATTAGTTAAATTTTCAATCTATATTAAAAACAAATTACTTTTATAAAGTAAATTACAGTCCCCCGCATACATTTTAGGCATTTATAGGCGACACTGATTAGAGTGATTCCACTGCGTATAGAAAAAACCATTAAGAAACACTTAATCTAAAGACATAAAATGCTTATTAAGAGCGTCAGTAAGATCAACGGATCAACTACTGAACCAGTAAGTAAACAAAATATATGCAATTATTCGCGCTAAAAAAGAAAATATATATTCTTGGCAGTGTTGATAACAAGTACAAGAGGAATATATTAGGGGTATTCAGGCAATAGATTAGTTGCTTAGTAGATCATTACAACAAAAATTTGCAGACAAAAAAAAAATAAGCAGAGAATCTACTATTCTCAGCCTAGTGAAAATTTGATTAATAGTGCTGCCAAAAGAGAAAGAAAATTCAAAAATAATAACATAAATTAATAAATAAAATTCAGTAAAACTATAATTTTTAAAGGGATAAAATATAATTAAAAATTGATTGGTTTGGTAACCCTAATAAAGTGAAGTATTAAAAGTTCTCGAGCGCGGGGTATATTTTAAAATTTATTGAACAGGGGTTGTTGTCACCACTATACGTGCTTGTATTGTAAAATACCTGAAAGTAGACCGTAAATTAAGTTTAAACAATAATATTTGAAAAGACTTTAATAGCTTCATAAAAAATATTTTGTATCTAAAAACTCTGATTCTTAATTCAACATGGAAAGAACACCGCCGAATACGTCTTTGATAAGCCAATCCGCAAAAAGAAAACTGACTGAAACATCGTCCGACATTTCGTTGCAAGACATTTTAAAAGCAATCCAAAGCAGTGAAAGCAAAGTCAATAAAAAAATACAACAACTAGCGTCGAAAGCAGACATCGAAGACTTGAAAAAACAAATGCTGAATAAAATTGAAGACTTGCAGCTCGAAACCCAGAGGTTTAAAATGGAGGTTGAGCAGTTAAAAAAAGATAGAGACCTGGATCGAAAAGAACTCAACAAAATAGTTATAGAAAAGAAGAAGCGAAACTTGATAGTGAAAGGCATGGTTAAAGAAGAATCGCCAAATAACGCATTCAAAAAACTATGCAATGATAAGTTGGGGCTTTACGATATATCAATTCAAAATACGCGATTAATGTACGAAAAAAACAATAAAATGAACATCGTCGTAAGTCTTGATACTACTGAAATGGCGCAGCAGGTGATCAGAAGTAAAAAAAAACTGGTGGGTTCAAAGATATATATTGAGAGAGATTTGAGTGAGGTGCAGCTTCAGAAAAAACGGGCTTTAATGCAGTTGAAAAAGCAGCTCATGTCGTTGGAATGCTCTATGGTATTAAGAAAGAAGTGTATGATAAAGGAATAGCGCAATTTAATACCATAAGATGGCTAATTTTATGGTGGTTGAACTAAAATTGGAAGATCAAAAAGCCTACATTGTTCCAGTGTATATAAATTGTAATAATTGGGATGCTGATTTCACCGACTTAAGGGACGCACTATATGATATAGACAATATGAATGTGATGGTTATAGGCGATTTTAATGGAAGAATAGGAAATGCACAAGCTATTGAGTTTATTCCAGAATCACTCCAAGAAAACGCAAAATTACAAAGAAATGCAAAAGATCTAACTCTAGATAAGAACGGAAAAAAATTAATAGAGTTGTTTAATGCTCTAGGGCTCACAGTAATGAATGGTAGAATTAGTGACGATTTAGATGGCGAAATAATATTTGCGCGTTGTGGAGCAACGATGATTATTGTGTTTTAAAAGGTTTATTTCTAAATATTATACAGCAACTTAGTATACAAGAAAAAATCTACTCTGACCATTTATCCGTGGATGTAACGCTTAAATTAAATCATATAAAGTACTGCAAAAATATGGATCTACTACCTAAGCTTAAATGAAAAAAACAATATTTGAACTTATGTCAGATTATTCTTGACCAATTATTGAACAGTAATGTAATGTGTGAAGCTACAGTTAATGATAGCAACACTTACAACAGCAATAAATGAAGCTGCTAGTCCATTTCAACAAGGGCCAACAAAGAGAAAATGGAATAAAGATTGGTTCGATAAAGAGTGTGAAATTGCAAGGACAAACTGTTTTAATAACTTAAAGATGGCGAGAAAAAGGGGCCTAGTCTCAGATTGGAATTAGTATAAGACAGCCAAAAACGGTTACAGAATTATTTGCTATAATAAAAGATTCCAACACACTAATGATCTTGCTTTATCATTATCATCAGTAAAAGACTCCAAAAGCTTTTGGAATATTGTACGTAAAGTAAATGGCATAAATTTCAGTAAGTCAGTGCATCTTAATTCTGGTGTTCTAGGTACTTATTTTGAAAAACTTTTAAGCACAACGGAGAATATAAGTCGTTTTAGATACGCAGAACCACTAATTCAAATCAATGAATTAGACAAAAAAATCGAGGTAGTTGAATTAACAGAGGTTTTAGAGCGTTGCAAAGAAAATAAAGCGCCTAGTGAAGATAGAATTGCAGCAGAATTTTTAAAATTTGCTTTTGCTGAAGGTATCACAAGGATTACAGAGATTTTCAACTACATATACGATAATGCAGAAGTACCGGGATGTTTTAAGAATTCAATAGTTTTTCCACTATTTAAAGGAGGTGATCCGCATGAATTAAAAAATTATAGAGGAATATCATTTTTAAATTCGATAGCAAAAGTATTTACAGGCATATTACATCAACGTCTGCAAAGTTAGGTCGACGATAAAAAACTACTAAGTGAATTCCAAGCAGGCTTCAGGCGAGGTTACTCAACTGAGGACAATGTTTTTATTCTGACAAATATTGCAAAATTACACGTTGAAAAAGGGAAAAAATTTTACGTATTTTTTGTAGACTTTAAAGCCGCATTTGATTCTATCGACAGAGATGCTATGTTTTATAAATTAAGTAATTATGGTGTATCTACAAAAATGCTAAACATACTGAGGGCGTTATATTGTAACGCGACTGCAGCAGTATGGGATGGAAACAGTCTTTCTAAGTGGTTTTCTTCGAACACAGGAGTAAAACAGGGTTGCTTGATAAGCCCTCTTCTTTTTGCGTTGTTCATAGACGATTTAAACAATTATCTTTCCGAAGGTATCTTAATAAATGATACATGTATTAAATTACTATTATATGCAGATGATTTAGTACTTATGGCGGACTCACCTTTAAAGATGCAAACTATGATCAATGAATTATATTCCTTCTGTATGATATGGAAACTTAAAATAAATATTTCTAAATCTAAAATTATGATATTCAAAAAAAATTGCAGAAGGCTTATGAAAAATGAAATTTGGAACTTAAATGGTGAAGCGTTAGAAGTAGTGAAGGAATACAAATATAAATTTAATGAACATCTCAGTAAGAAGTTAAGCGAAGTCAGAAAAGCAATAAACTCGTCATGGGAAGTAATTTTAGGAAAAAATGAGGTTGCGCTCTCGGTAAAGTTTCAAGTATTTAAAGCGGCGGTAAGATCAATCCTCTTTTATACAGCACAGGTATGGGGAATAGACGAATTTAACGAAGTAGAAATGCTTCAAAGGTACTTCATAAAAAGAATATTCAAGTTACCACAAAACACGCCCAACTATATGCTGCATTTAGAAACAGGATTGTCAAGTTTATGTATAGAGACGCTAAAACTACATTTTAAATATATAAATCACGTCATGAATATGAGTGACAATAGACTCCCTAAAATTCTGGCAAGGTTCCTCGCAAATACGAAGACAGGTTTTGTTGAAAAATGGAAATCACTTGCTAATACGCATGATGAGGTATTGTTGCTCGAAAATAGAGAAGTAATGCGTTCGTGGCAAAAAAATATATTGATATAAATTATGGCGAATGAAAGAGCTAAATTTACATTGGCAGCAAGGGCAAGTGATTATAGACATGCTTACAAAAGGTTGGAATATGAATTACGCGATCGGAATTATTTTAAGGATGATTATACTATTGGAACTATCAGCCAGATTTTTAAAACTTGGGGCGAACTCCTTAATTTAAACTATAGACCATATGTGTAAGTAAATTCAACACATTGTTCATTATGTAATTTAGACCAGCCAGAGGACATAATACACTTTATTGGATTAACTTTAATTAGCTTTAGAACACTTCATTATTAGTTAATTAGTTTGTTGGCAGACGGCATTTGGGCCATGCCTTTAGTTCAATAAGTAACAATATTATAATGTGTAAATATTTTGGAATTAATTTTGTAATAACATAAATTAAAGTGTAAGATTAGTTTTAAGATTAAAATATTATATTGTTTTTGAACTAAAATAAATAAAAAAATACTACTACTACTACTACTACTAATATAATTAAAAAGTATAAAATTGAATATTCTACTTTTTGATATATGACACGTTTGCAATTTTAGTTATATGCTGCATTATATGATAAATTTAAATGATATTAATATTTACGAATATTTGATTATTTCATTGTTAACATATGATTCACTTCTGCTGTTAATACGAGTGCTGCCAAGGCATTTGCACACAACAAACTAATCAGATTAAGCATTTTGGGTCGTTCAAGCAACAGATTAACATCAAAATGCTAATTTTTTTTTTAAATTAAGTTTTTAATCAACTAAGCAACTAATCTGTTGCCTGTATACCCCTAATGTAAATTGTTGGCACTTGCTAACCATAGTACAACAGTAGTAAGCGCGGCAACGTAATATGGCAAACTGTACCGGTACACGAGATATAACACAATACATTTTTTTAAAAAGAATTTCAATTCATGTTCTATTGACTTAATGAAATGTATTGAAAATTTACCTTTTTTGTGTGGGCATGATGCAAATGTTTAGTCAGATCGCTTTTCCGAACGCATTTATGTGAGCACTTTGTACATTGAAATGGTTTATCCGATATATGTCGATACCTGATATGCGTAGCAAGCGAACTTTTTGATGAACAAGTCACATAACACATAGTGCATTTGTAAAGATTTAAATGTTTTTTTATATGAGAATTCAACAATTTTTTTGTGGGAAAGCATTTAAAGCACTTGCAACATTGAAATTTCTGATCTAAAATATAATAAGTTTACATTCAAATTATATTCGAAATTCATTTATTTTACTGTTGTTATCTTGTCGCACTAGGTGTTCAAAGAGAGATGTTTTTGTACAGAAAGTTTTTCCACATTGACAACATGCTGCCTCTTTTTGGTTGGAATGGATTTTGACATGTTCAATTAAACGATATTTGTGTTCGAATTGTTTATAACAATATCTCCAACCACAGTGCATATTTAAAGCTGCTCCATTTCCAGTTTTTACTATATCACACTCGAAAATGACATGTTTAATGACATGGTCTTGGTACTCTATTATAGATTCGAAACTACGTTCACAATCAGTCCATTCACACAAATAATTAGTAATAACCTCTGGAATCAAATCAAAAACCTTTTCGGAAACATGGCACTTAGGTATATCTAAACGTTTCTCACATTCATATTTTCCCCTTAATAGTAAAAAATTGTAGTATCCATGATAGAAAACATGCTTTCGCAATCTGTCTAAGTGCACTGTACTGTAATTACAACCTGTCCAAGAGCAATTATAGTCGCTATTTTCAGTTTGAGATTCATTTAACTCTAAATGTGTCTCTATATGTTTGCTTAAGTCTAACAAATTTTCGCATATGTATTTACATCGACTCCACAAACATGACAAAACACTTTCCATTACTTCTTTTATAGAATTTGTCATATTTGTACAATATTCGTTACACTAAACAACGCAAATGAAGAGGTATTAACATTCAAATAAAATTAAAGCCAAAAAACTACTTTGCTTATAACAAATGCACACACATGACAGCGGCAAAAAATACCAACAAAAATGAAAACACTTTTTTTTATATTAAACCAGCCATACACTAATAAACACATTGTTACAATAACTTAATCTACCCATCATACATGATTGCTAACATCAGAGAATATCTTTTTTAGAAGGTAAACCATACCAACTTCAATCAAGTCTAAAAAAAATTGCTTAAAAAAAATTTATTTATATAACACTTTCGTTACACGTATTAAATAAATGTGATCACACCACACTTATGCCACTTTTACGCTCTTTCACGCTGCTGTATAACTTTTTTTCATCTAGTTATTGTACAAGTTCTTATATAAATTAATGAGTTCTTTACGATTTCTTTTATTTCGGATTACTCCGAACCGTTTATTTCTAAGATTGATAAAGAACTGATTTGAATAAAATCTTACATCTCTTAAATTCGGAACGCCCCCGTTTCGACCAGTTAATTGATTTATGATGTCATCAAATATTGTTTTTGATTTTACTCTTTCTCTGCATGATCGAACCATTAGAAATGTTGTTACTGCTATTACCAGAATTAATACAAGTAAAATAGTGAGCCACCAGTTTCGTTTTTGGAAACTTATTTCTTCACTTAGTGTTGAGATATGATTCGTATTCTCAATATGTATTCTGTGAAGATATGGCAAAGAAAGTTTCGTGTTATGTTCCAGAAACTTAATGTCGAGAAATTTCGGGGCATGAGGTTCGAGATCAGTCATGTTTTTTGTGACTTTGTATTTTGTGCCGTTTATGGTAATTTCATTTTTAAATGTTATCAGGAATGTGCCCGATATATTAAATTTATGAACGTCTTCAACCGTAGTGGATGAAACATCGTTTAATATTATGGTACCTTCTTGTACCTGCTGAATTAATGGTAGATTATGTGATGATTCGGTGGAACATGCAGCTGTGTTATTATTTAATAACTGTGACAGGCAAGATGATGTTGCTGAGCTGCAGATGTTTGCTATAAAAGTATTTAAGCAATTTTGAATCGGTTGCATAATGCCATCACAATCCGCTGCCGCATCTATATCTAAACTTATTATGGAATTATTATGAATAACAGGAAATATCTTAACATAGTTACAATATTTATTTATTCTAGGAACTTTTATTACATATAAAATGATTTCTTTATTTTGTAAAACTTTTACATCGGATACACTTAATATGGTATTTAAACTAAGTGGTACATTTTCAGAGTCAATCAGATCATTTATTTCAACGTTATCTAAGATAAGTGGATTAATCATATTATTTTTTGCCAAGACCACGGAAAGAGCTAAATTATCTAAATGATTGATAACATAATTATTTCTATAATAATTTGTTACCGGGCTAATTGGTCAAATTTTAATATAAATAAAAAGACATTAATTTATTATTTATATTTAAAAATCGTTTATATTTTATTTCCGATATTTCGACTATCTTCGATAGTCATCTTCAGGGAAAACTGCACAAAATATAGGATGTTCACATTTTTATAGCGGATTATAAAGAAAAATCATACAATAAATACAATAATAATGATGACAACAAGTTGTTTTTTCTCTTGTTGTCATCATTATTATTGTATTTATTGTATGATTTTTCTTTATAATCCGCTATAAAAATGTGAACATCCTATATTTTGTGCAGTTTTCCCTGAAGATGACTATCGAAGATAGTCGAAATATCGGAAATAAAATATAAACGATTTTTAAATATAAATAATAAATTAATGTCTTTTTATTTATATTAAAATTTGACCAATTAGCCCGGTAACAAATTATTATAATAATAATTTTTGGTCACAAATATAAGTATTTAATAATTATTTCTATTCATGATATGTTGTTTCAGAATTTCTTCATCTTTCGAGATAGAATTATCAGAATTTTTTGCTGTCTTTAAGTCGTTTATTCTGTCTGTAAGTTCGTTAATTTGGTTCTGTATTACAGAGTTGTTGTTTGTCTGTCTATTATTATTTTCTATTAGCATATTCTGTTTGCTTGATAACAATTGGAAATCGTCATGATCCGGGGTTCCTGCTACGAATTTTAGCGCTGATCCAATAAAGTCGATCGATCTTGCAAATCGACGTGTGGTCCGCAATGTCTTTATGATTCGCTGAATATCCTGTGTTTGCTTTACCAGGATATCTTTAGTGTAGACGTTGTGATCAAAAGAATTTGTGTTGTCCATAATCATTTCCTCATATTCTGATAAGTTGGTTGAGTGTACCAAGTAAAAATAATTTTCATATATTGCGGCGTTTCCATGTGTGACCGCTATGAAATGTGGTGGTGTGTAATCTATGATCCTTGATGTTGCAAGTTTACAAAATAGTAGTAGCCTAATAAAAAAAAAACGAGAGAAAATAATTATCGGAGATTACTTTTATGAATTTTTCTGCCATTAATCAGGACAGTAGCGCCTAGATCTCGTTCGACAGTCCCTTCCTCAAAAATTTTATTAAACTTGTTACCTAATCGTTTATTTCTTTTTATAAAGACTACGTCTCCCGGTTTATAGGATGTACGATGTATATCCCTATTAGCTCTCCTTAGTAGTTTTTCTTGAGATTCCATAATTTTCTCTTTAACTTTTGAAATTGTTTTACTATCTTCGGAGTCAAGCAAATCAACCGGCTTGGAATCTGTTACAGAATGTACGGTATTATTGTATTTAATAGTGGCTAGTAGTATGAGCTCGGTCATATCAGCTATTTGCTGCTGAGCCTTACAACATCTAGCAATTTCCAATAACGTTGAATGTAATCGTTCAACTTGACCGTTGCTTTCACTATGGAGAGTTGGTACGAAAAATTGCGTGATTTCAAAATGATCACGTAAAAAAGTGGATAATGCATTCGATTGGAATGCTTTTTCATTATCCGTAACGATAAGCCTGGTTTTTTTATATTTATTTAAAATTTGTAGCAGACCTAATTTAATATCCGATGTTGTTCTTGACGCTATCAGTGTAACTATTGCGAATTTTGTCAGTTTATCGATACTTGTTAAAAAGTACGACTTATTTGTTATTAAAATATCTATATGGAGTATTTCTCCGGGATAATTTGGTATTGGAGTTTCACCGATACCTGGATTTGGTGGTTTTCTTTGGTACTTATTTTCGTGGCAAATCCTACAGTTTGCGATGATAGTTTTGAGAATCGTTTTCATTTTTGGGAAGTAGTATTCTTCCGTTATTTGTTTATGATTTTCGTGGAGACATCTATGGGCTCTGTTATGCTCTGTTGTTGCTGTCCCCATTTGATCCTCTCTATTGGTCAAATCGATGACAAGTTTCTCCGTGTGAATGAATTTAACACCTGGATATTCTTTCCTTAACAGATTTTGAATTGTTGCCAAAGTTGGTAGATCACAATGTAGACCATTTACTACATTTGGGTTTATTTTATCTTTGATTGTATTTAAAAGAAATTCTGTGTTTTTAAAATTTATTGTGTGGCGTACAAATTTTTTAAATAGGATTTTAGTGTTTTTATTATTTGAATTACAATGAGACAAAATTAGTTGATTTCTAAATTGGTTTACAGGGGTGTTTACTGTTTTAATTATATCAGATGAGGATTCTTCACTGTGGACTGTATTTCCGTCTAAAGTCAAATTATTAATATATTGATAGATAAGGCATCTGCTACTTTGTTTTCTTTCCCTGGTTTATAGAAGAATTTTGGGAAAATTCATCTATAAATGCACGCCACCTTTTAATTTTTGAATTAAAATTCTTATCCGATATTGAAAATGTGAGAAGTTGATGAGTTGTAAAGATTTTTAGGTTTCCAACACAATATAAGTAGTGACGTAATGTTTGTAAAGCCCAAACAATTGCTAGTAGTTCGCGTTCATTTGTAGCGTAGTTTTCTTCACACTTACTTAGGGTTCTAGAGACCATTGTTATTGGTCTACCCTCTTGGGACAATACTGCACCTAAAGCAACTGATGATACATCAGGGGTAAGCTCGAAGGCTTTATCGTAGTCTGGATGCTGTAGAAGTTCATCCTCTGAAGCTAATATTTGCTTTAATTTATTAAATGCTTTTACTGCATTCGCATTTAAATTTATTTTAGTATGTTTTGATTGTTTGGTTCCAATGTGACCATTTTCTCCTCTTAGGTATGCAGTCAGTGGCTTTGCTATTGCCGCGTAATCCCTTACAAATCTCCGATAATATCCGGATAGTCCTAGAAAGGCACGCAGTGATCTCAACGACTTTGGTTGTTTGTAGTTTAAAATTGCATTGACTTTACCCGGGCATGTTTTAATGCCATTAGCTGAGACAACAAATCCTAAAAACTCTACTTCGTTTTGAAGGAACTTAGATTTTTCAGTAAAAACGCGCATTCCCGCGTTTTTCAGTTTGGTTAAAATATTACTGACATGATTGAGATGACTGACTTTGTCTAAGAAAAAGATGATTATATCATCCATATAAACATGGCATGTTTTTCCTATGTCATCCCGCAAAATGTCATCAATGGCCCGCTGAAAGATACTAGGGGCATTTTTTAAGCCGAATGGTAAGCGACAAAACTCATACTTACCATTATTTACACTGAAGGCTGTTTTATGCCTATCTTTTTCGTCTAAAACTATCTGGTGAAACCCAGACTTGAGGTCTAGAGTCGTGTAAAACTTCGACTGTCTTAGATTGGACAATATCACTGTTGTATCCGGTATAGGATACTTATCAGTTATCGTTTGTTCGTTTATTTTTCTAAAGTCAATTACCATGCGTAGCTTTGGTTTTCCATTTTCGTCCACACCTTTCTTATTTACGACGTGGATGGGGGAATTATAAGCTGAAGAGGACTTTCTGATAATACCATCTCTTAGTAATGTTTTTATTTCGTTATTTATAAATTCCGCTGCCGATATTGGGTACGGATAACTTCTCGAATAAATTGGATCGTTTGTTATTGTATTGATAGTTGCTTTAACTTGAGTATGAAAAGGTAATGCTCTATCGGGATTAGCGAATGCCTCGATATTT